AGAAAAGCTAGATATATTAAGAAAAACTTTTTTTTCAATGAATAATGAATTTTCAAGAATTATTTTAAAATTTTTAATTAGAAAAATTTATTAATTTTTAAATCTTTCAAAATTCTGTATTTAACTATATTTACTAATCACAAATGTAAAAGGTTAATACGAATCATCAAACACAAATATTTGAAAAAGAATTTGAATTTTTTTTTCTTTTGTCTATAAACATGCCGTTTTTGTAAGTACAAACATACACGACATTAACAGAAAATAAGCGATAACAATAGTAAAGTCAACATTTCTAAAATTCAATAAAATATTAAATCGCGGAGGATATTTTCCTAAATTTTTAAAGATGACTGAGTACTTAAAAATTATATAAAAAAGGCCCTCGTGTCATTTTCTTCAATTATGTTTTACAGATAAAATCTCCATAGAACAACATTAGAACTGTCATCAAGATGTCAAGCCAGCAACTGTTGGGTTAAAAATGCATTTCTGCAATATTTTAAACTTAAAGTTAATAATATTTGTTTTAAATCGGTTAATATTTCTCAAATAAAGTTTCAGAAAAGTATATTTTATTTTTCGAAGATTTTTTAATAAAGAAAATTACACTGAGATGAAAGACGACTAAATAAAGAGGCGCTAATCAGCTGTTTAAGAAAAAATATTTCGACTCAATTTAAATTAGTTTTTGAAACAAAGTATTTAACTTATTTGAAATATTTTTTTATGATGGATTCAGGGTATGTGCCACCACTGCATTCATTTCAATTCCAAATGATAATTTATGTTCTCAACATTTTCTTCCGTTATGATGTACATATAAAAAATCTCCTTATAACAACAGTAGACCTGTCATCACGCTGTCAAAGACGTCAACACAGTTCCTGTCGAGTTAAAAAAATGCATTTCTGCGGTATCTTAAAGTAAATAATATTTGTTTCAAATCAAATTAATTATACTTCAAATCAGCTAATATTCCTCAAATAAAGTTTCAGGAAAGTATATTTTATTTTTAGAAGATTTTTTAATAAAGAAAATTACACTGCGATGAAAGAAGTTATTTGTTACAGTAATTTTTGATTACCTAGATTCTAAGAAGGACGCTCCTCGCTAAAAGTTACCGACTTCATTCAATATAATAATAATAATAATAATATTCAAAACACAGACAGATCCAATTCTTATTGGGACACTAGGTTTGACTGATTTATTTGTATTTTACGGCTTATCAACCTCTTGGCGCAAAAAAGAATTATATGAAAAATATGAAAAACTGATTCGCAACTGCTTAGTGACCCGATTGTGGCCGAATTGCAAAAGATTGCACTACTGGTTACTTCCCAAATGCTGAGGAAGGTTTTTCTCAATGTGAGAGGTTATGGGTCTATACCACTGCAAATAGTATAGACCCATAAGACGCTCTCCTGGATGTTAGCATTAACCATGTGGATGGTAGGCAGGAAGGAGTCTTGCTGATCATTAATAGAGGGCAGTTTCATGTAAAAACAAACAACAAATTTAAAATTATTGCCATCCGTTGGTCTCAAGAGACCATGAATCTTCGTACGCAGAGCGCCGGCCTTTTTTTTTTTATAGTACGCTTCACTCAGTAGAAGGCCCGAAGGCCACTCGAGGTAGAGGGTTACAGTATAAGAGGGGAAAAACAACGGCTGACTTTAGACTAGAACCGGTTAAGATTGTAGTGAATAGAGAAACATCTTCTTGGGGACTTGTTCCACAGGGCAGTGGCTCGAGGGAAGAACTTTTCACCAATGAAATACGAAGGAAATGTTGATAGTTTTCTGCTATATAAGTGTCATGACGGGTCCTAGCCGTGAAGTTTAGACCTTGCGGAAGCATGAAATGTAGTTCATCCGAGTACTTTCCGTGGTAATAGCGATAGAGAGGTGAGTGACTTGTCCAATCCCGCCTGTTAGAAAGAGGTTGGATGGTGGGAAATAATTTTTACCCAACAAGGGATCGGAGACATTTTTGAACTCTATCAAGACTGGAAAGTGAGGATCTAGGCAGATTTACAAATGATCGGAGTATATTTTTAGGTAGATTATTTATGTACATCAGAAAGAGGGTTGGTCTAACGAGTGGTGACCCCTGAGTTAACCGCCAGGGCTTCGGAGGACTGTCTGTTAATAACTACCTCCAGGGATCTGTTAGGAAGGATTTTATAATGGAAAAAAACACTTCCATAGCTGGAGAGGTTGTGTAGCAAACCTTTGCGCCACACATTGTCGAAGGCTTTCGTGATATGTAATGCTATGGTCCTTGCGGTGTGTGTGTTGTCAAGGTTTTCACTAATTCTGTGTGTAATGATAGTTAGGACGTCAGCAGTGGATCGTGATGATCGAAACCCATACTGCTCGTCGCACAAGAGGTTATTCCTATCTAGGTGTTCGACTATTTCTTGTTGAGTAAAAGTTTACTGATGCCACTAAGGAGACTAATGGGTCTATTCTAGGAGGAGGATCGGTCGCTCGCGTTCTTGAAGACATGTCATATACTTACCACTTTCCACAGGCTCAGGAAAGATTTTTCCTTCAAGCAGCGGTTAAATAACTTTGCTAGGATCAGGAATAATTCTGAGTTGATACTCTTAAGGACGATCACTGGAATTTTGTCTGGGTTTGTGTTTTTTGTTTGGTGGGGAAGGGTCGAGGCTTTTGATAAGTCTAGAGACTTAGTGAAATGAGTATGTTACTGAGATTGTGCTCAGTGAGACCTGGGAAGTTAGAGAAGGGATGAAGGGAGCAGGGTATTTTATAAGAGATCGACAGTTGCCCATGCAGCACGCTCCCGTCTCTGGGCCACCGATGTTGTCCAAGGGAAAGGCAGAGGCTAATACAGCTTGGCACTGACGTCGGAGATGTCAAAACGAAACATCTGTCTTAGAGACTTTGTCTCTGAATTCAGATTGTTGTTCTCCTTGTCTGGATGCCAATCATGGCTACAGAGCCCTGACTACCCTACTTTACCCATAATTTGAGGATATGAATTCAGTTTTTCCTTCTCCTAGGCCGGTTGCCACTCAAGGGTTTAGAGCCCAATCTATGCTGCTATTTAGCTGGGTGAAGGAGAGATGTATCCATATTTTTACCAGGGGTATTATATGTTATAGAAGCCATTGTGTTGGAATATTTCCTTGTTAGCGGAGTTATTCTATTTTCTATTGACGAGGGTATATGTTTAATTATAGATGGAGGGTGGTACACAATGGCTTCTATAACACTGCCTTAAAAAAATAGTGGTTATAAAAATGCTAACCTTAACTATAGAGACGATTGCACTGGCCATAAGAAAAAAAAAACAGGAAAAGAAAAATCATTTGCCACACCCCTCCATTCAACCAAATGGTTAGTATTAAACTAGGACAGAAATTCTTAGCTCTAATTGATAAACACTTCCCCACCAATAGTAAGCTTAGTAATATATTCAATAAGAACACCCTAAAATTGAGTTACAGCTGCTCTGAAAATCTTGAACGTATAATAAAAAAACACAATAATAAGATCTTGAACAAACCCCCCATGCCTGAATAGTATTAATAAAAACTTTAAATCAGACAATAAAAGGGAAAAATGGTAATTGTAGAAACCTAGAAGACTGCCCATTAGAAAATAAATGCTGCATTAAATCTGTGGTTTACCAATGTACTATATCATCCACTGAGAGTCCTAGTACTAATATTATATACATTGGGTCCACGAAGAATGATTTTAAAGATAGATGGAGGCAGCATAAGTGCTCTTTCAATAATATAAATAAAAGAAATCAGACTTCCCTATCTAAATATTTTTGGCATCTGAAGGAAACAAATAGGACACCTAAAGTAAAATGGAAAATTATAAACAGGGCTTGGGATGACCCATGCCCTTTGTGCCTCCATGAGAAATTGCACATTATTAAGCTTCTAAATAATAATAATCTATTAAACAATAGACATGAGTTAACGGTTTTTTGTCGACATCATCAGATTCATGGTTTAAATAATTAGCTAAAAACAAGCATACAATATAATAACTTGATTAATCGATAGCCCAATCATCAGATTCATGGTTTGAATAATTAGCTAAGAACAAGCATACAAAATAATAACTTTCATAATCCATAGCCCAAATAAATAGTTTAAATACCCTACAAAAAGATAACCCTTTATGAAGTCTTCAAAAAACAAACGTTACGGCAGTTTTTTTATATGCACAAATCCCTTTCATAAAAAAAATAAATAAATCTCCATAGACAAGCATACCAGACTAGGGTTAATACATCTTCCGTTTCAAATTTAGACACCTCCACCATTCCCTGACTTGACATCCATGAAAGTAACTCTGTACTGATACTTATTATTAACACCCAACACACGCCTACCCAATTTAAACAATTCGCCCTAGCTGTTACCATGGAAACTTTGATTTCAATTATTAAAACACGTAAATTTCAGAAATACGTTATTCCAAAAAAAATTTCGCTTGAAGATGGAACAGAGCTTACTTTAACTCAATTTAATTCAAATAATTATATTGAAGTTTTCGGCTCTTGTTTTGAAACATGAGACCTTTAATGTCGCGAGTTGGAATCATATTTTTAAATAAATAATTATATTTATGCTCTACTTCTGTATCAAGCACTATTTTTAAAAAATAATAACTAAAATACTAAGGGACTTTGGATTATTTACCTAACCAGTTCCTTCCTATTTTCTATATATTTTCACACACACACACACACACACACACACACACATATATATATATATATATATATATATATATATATATATATATATATATATATATGAATCCATTTCTGATCTTTAAATGTCTTTCTGTGACTGGAAAGAAAATTTGCATACAACAGAAACCCGAAGAAATAACAACCCCCCCCACACACACACCTTTCAAAAATTGTGTATTCATAATTTTTTTTAATTGATCTCTTTGTTTTTTTTTGTTTTTTTTTTTTTTGTTTTTTTTTAGGTACAAATGTTTTACCAGTGGATATCTTTTGGGATTCTGCTATTTTTTGTAAACTCCCTGGTCAGTGGTGAGTAAAATCTTTTAACAATTCTGTCGTATTTTACTTCACTTTTTGTAATGCTATGTCCTTCATGATATAGACGATCATGGCTCTCCACACATTCCTCATGTATTCTTAAACTGTTTACCATCCAAGGCTACAGAGACTACGCTGATAATTAACCCATTAATTAGTTAAAGTATGGTGAGTAGAAAAGATACGGGTTCATGCCTTTTTCCAAAAGAATTAATGTGATAGTTGGATGATTTTGTTTAGCATCATATAAACACCTCTATGAGTTATTTAATACCGAAATCTAATGCTTTCAACGACACATAAAATGTATTATTGATCATTTAGCTATAAAATGGATTCTTGGTAATTCCACTACTGTTATTATTTTTTTTATATTTTCAGAGTGTTTTGTTTTTGTTTAGGGGTTCTCTATTAGCCATAGCTGGGACCCTAACAGGTATTACCATCCCGGGTCAGGGTAGACCTGGGAACAACAGTTAAGAGATTGTCCCACTCTCCTCAAAACCTCCAATCTTCGATCAGAGGCCTTGCTGCCGGACGTAGTTTATCGTCATACCGAGGAATTTGAATTCACCAATTCCACTTTGAGCCGATATTCGTTACTTTAGCTACTGATACTTCATTTGTGTGCCGTGTCCCTTCAGGGTGTTGGCGATCATAGCTCGCAACAGCTTCCTATCCTTTGTAGTTCTTGGTAAGGTTTGTGTTTTCGTTATCTTTCCCAAACCCTGTTCTACTAACCAATTACACAAGCTCGCTCTTTTCCTTTGTCTCTCTAGCCTCCGTTATGTCCTGTGAGTGTCAAATTTTCCAAGCCGCCTTTTTTTGTTATTCAACAGTTTCTGATTCGATGTATAAATGATTTTGTTTTGTTTCCATTTTCCCCAAAACTTCCACGTTACTCACATGTTCAGTTCATGTTATTCTCAGCCGCCTTCTGTAGAACCATCTTTCTGTTGCCTACGGTATCCCACTTACTGCCATATTACATATATTATATAGCAGTTTAACACTCTTTTCTTTGTTTCTAATGGAATTTTCCTTTTTTTTAATACTTTGCTTAGTTTTTGGAAGTCATCTTTCGCTATTCCAATGGGCCTTTGAAGTCACATTTTCCTGTCCTCTGTTAAAATCCTTTCCAAATAGTTAAATTTTCGTACTTTCTGCTATATTTATCTTTAACTTAATTCCTCTTTTTCCAACTCCAACTATTTTTCCGGTCTTTTGTACCTATTAGTAAATGTTGTCTTTCTGCATTCTTAAAGCCTGTTCTGCTATCCAGTTACACAAGCTCTTTAGGTAGATTATTCACGGTTTTCCTGTAGCCTTCAATATGCCCCGTTAGTTTCATATTTTCCAAGCTATCTTTCCTCATTATTTGGCCTAGAAATTTTCGTTGTCTCTTTCTGATATTATGTATAAGTGTCCTTTTGTTTCTATTTTCGTCGTCATTGCTCACATGTTCAGTCCATAATATTCTCAGCATCCTTTTGTAGAACCACATTTGTTAATTTCTGATTTGGATTGTTATATCTATTTATTTATATTTTAATAATCGACTGAGGTTCCATAGTCGGTCTCCATATTGATTGCTTTCTCGGCAATCAGCTGATATTTTGAAACTCTTCTATTTTTTCGGTCAGAAAATTAGCAAAACGTTACCATTATTATTATTATTTTTTTTTTTTTTTAAAGCCAATTTATTTTTTTTTATATCATTTCACTCCAAGCAAGGATGTAAAACGACTAAGACGCAAGGGGTTACTAAGAGAAAAGAAACGAACAGGATTCAAAAACACAAAAGATGACGATTGACATGCCATTTACATTTTGGAAGATTGTAGTTGACAAGAAAGCAAGAAGCTAATGGAATGTTCCATAAGTGAGAAGAGAAACTATTAGAATAGAACTTAACGCTTACTTGTAATACTTTCAACAGTAAAATGATGGTTTGGTTTGCATACCAACTCCTTATAGGTCATTTAATACCGACGTCTTATTTTCTGGTGAGCTTTGGTAATTTTTTTTTATTTTTACTATGAAAATGTATTACTGGTAATTTTTCTAATGTATTTTTATATTTTCATGCCTTGACCCTAGTTTGGTTATTCCTTATTTGCCCATAACTGGGACCCTAACGGGTGCTACCACCGGGCTGCATTTAAGCTAGCTCCAGTGGAGGGCTCTTGACTGGGCCTTCGTCTTGTTCAGAAGTTTGAGAATCCTTAAGTCTTTGCATTTTCTCAGCATTGGAAAGTCTCCTGGCTGCCGTTTGATCTGGGTTTTCATTTGAACGGGACTTTCTTTTCCTTGCTGCAGCCTTGGCTCTTTTGATTGCAATCTGGTCCTCTGTTGGTGGAGATTTCTTTTTGCGAGGCATACTGCTATGGAAGAACTCAAAACTGATTGCTGCATTTAAGTATTACATTACTATTTTAAGCTTGCCTTTTAATAGTGCAACGATAATTCTGCTGCTGCTCATTAATTTAAAGACAATTTGATGTACTTAGGTCCTTACGTACAATTATGCTTTTTTTTTAAATTAAACAGAATTAATTTATCATACTGAATGTTCGAGAAATTTCGTAGAAAATATGAGCTCTCCAACAGAAATTGAACCTGTAACCCTAATAAGAATCTCCATTTGATCTGACTTAATGCATTTCAGAATATGTTGTTATTGTTTACGTTAAGATACGTTTCGTGAGCAGAACTAATCGATCGAGAAAAACGGTCGAAGGTGTGTGTTTATAAACAATATATGTCTGTATCTTCTGTTGAAACATAAGTTATAATGCAATAGACTTTCTACGCATAATTCAACATTGACCCGCATATATAAATACTCGAGTCAAAACACAACACACATGGCCTGAAGATTGCGTTTAAGCATGAAATACTTAATGTCCACTTTTATATTTATCTATGCTCTGTCCCTGATATTGAGCACTTTACCCCATAAATATAAAATACCTTAAAACTGCAGGGTGGCAATGATTTATCACCCACAATAACGCGGAGACGGTTTGGGATTCTATCGAGACTAGAAAGTGAGGACTGATCAGCTCCTGTCCAAATATGGTAGCAATACTCCATTAGTGGAATTAAGGGCTGTTAGTATGGGATATATATTTATATGTACCGAATGAATATTTATTTAAACACTGTTTTTATAACCTCGTTCTTCGGTTATTCGTTTAGCGTGGCATTAGCGAGGTATTCCTGCTGCGTTTTCAAAAAACATATTGACAGGGCGCAAAGTAAGTAGAGTGTTTTCCTTCGATTGTAACAAATCTACCCCCACCCACGACAGGACATTAGTTTCTTCAAATGAAAAGAACATTATCATTACAGGTAGGAGCAAACGCTCGCACCGAAAACCGATTCCATGCCGAAATTCTCTGAACAGGAATCTAGGAAGATTCTTCAACCTGGTGTATATTACCAACGACACTTGAACAAAATATTCCAATAACAATCATATATATATATATATATGAATGCATATCGTGTTAAAGAAAGCATGTGCAAATAAAAACTTTAAACATTTCCATTTCACTGAAGGTAACGTTAAACAGCTCTGATTCCCGAAAATCGCAAGTCTAGAAGAATCCACAACATAATGACTATATTGATTATTCTAATTCCTCAAAATTCTATCAATGACGACCCAGCTAATGCTCTGCAATGGAGCTGCTAAGGTGGAGTGGGGTGTGGGCGTGAATACGTGGCTTTTGAGGCACAACCCGTTGCGTTATGGATACTTGGAAGTGTATCACCACGGAATTTGTGAGTAGCGGCGCTATATCGAGTCTATTCAGTTTTTTCCTCATCACCGAGGTTGGTATGACGATTGCGTTGTATCGAAACGGTCCGGGTTCGATTCTCGGTAGCGGATTCGCACTGCTGATGAGTCCTAAATAGAACAAAACGCCCGTGTGTGTGTGTGTGTGTGTGTGTGTGTGTGTGTGTATATATATATATATATATATATATATATATATAGGAAAGTTTTCTCCCTGAGCCGCGCCATGAAGTTTTTCTCCCGGAGTCGATCCTCCAGATCTACAAATTAACAATTCGCACTTGCATGGAGTATTGCTGCCATATATGGTCTGGTGCCCCTTCTGTTTGCCTCTGGGTTCTTGATAGGCTCCAGAAGCGGATATGCAATGTAGTTGGCCCTGCCCTGGCGTCTCGTCTACAGTCACTTTCTCACAGACACGCCGTCGCCTCCCTCTGTCTGTTCTACAAATACTTTTATGGAAATTGTTCCGAGGAGCTGCATTCGCTGGTTCCCAGACGTCATGAGTTCCAGCGTCTTACGAGCCTGGCATCCCGCTCTCACCCCTTCACTGTCGAAACTCCTAAATGTAGCCGTCTCTTCTACTCTAATAGCTTCATGTCTCGCACCTCTCGCCTGTTGCACTCCCTTCCCTATTCCTGTTTCCCTGTGAGCTATAATCTCCAGCTATTCAAGTGTAATGTCTATCGACATCTCCAGTTGCCTTGATCTATCCACTACCCTCATCCTTTTTTCTAACACTTCTACCTGATCTTGCTCTAAACTTTCTGTAACCCCTTGCGTCCTAGTGGCTTCCTGTCTTGCTTGGGGTGAAATGTTTAATATATATATATATATATATATATATATATATATATATAATGCGTGAGTGTGTGTATATAATATATATATATATATATATAATGTGTGAGTGTGTGTATATATAATATATATAATGTGTGAGTGTGTGTATATATAATATATATAATGTGTGAGTGTGTGCATATATAATGTATATATAATGTGTGTGTATATATATATATATATATATGATTATACTCTCCCTAACTTTATTAATTTCTTCCAAGCTTTCAATTCCTTCTGGAGTCATCGTCAGTAACAAAAAGTTTTTAATTGAAAGGCTGATGGCAAGACACTTAAATATTACGACTGGAAAGCATTGCCTAGGAAGGCTGAATTTATCCCTTAGAAATATTAAGAAATGTACAACTTCAGTCGACAAAGAAAATTAAATTATCTACTAAAAACTTAAAACTGCAAACCTCATTGTGAAGAACAATAATTCACCTGCAAGATCCAAATTATTTATGAATTCACATGCCCACTGAGGTACTGCTTTTCCTATCAAACCACATTAATGAATAATCCTATTGGTCATACCACTACACGCCTATCAAGAAGACTCACGTTACATCTCTCTGACCATAACTCAATTAGGTCTCATTACATACACACTTGACTAACCAGGCTCCATCCAGACACACTTGTAGACAATACAAATATATTAGCCTCATCCACATGTAAAAAAAAGGGGTAAACATAATGGAAGCATTATTAATGAAAAAGAAAAAGCCATCACTCAATAATGTCAACTATGAACACGGCCACAAAGTGCTGACCGTGTTTGGGGAAATAAAAACATTTCTATAACTCTAGATACATACATAAAAAAAAATCCATAAATTAAATTAAAAGTAAAATAAATTCATCCTAGATAATGGCTAAAAGAATAGCCAAAAACACTCAAACATACAGAACATTCAGATAGTTTCTATATACTTTATGTTCAGAAAAGAAAAAATATAAAAACACAAGAAAAATGAAATAGAAAAGTTAACCGCAGTACCTTGTCAAACGTTTTTAACAAAACTTATGTATGAATAAAGATAAAATGAAAACTTAGCAGACGGTTTATCGCCGTTTTGCCGAATTCTCATTCTCAAATATGTACCCGTCTTCGTTTGTAATCCTCTTTATGAACGTTATTTTGATCTTCATCCTGATCAGGAAACACATTTTTATTCTCAAACCCTTTTACGTTCATTTGATCCTTGATTTTATCTGTTAGTTTTGTTTCAGTTTTTGGCGCTGTCAGAACCACCGCAAGGTAATTTTACGTAGTCCTATGAAGTTTAGTTGAAATCGGTTGAAAAATGTAGGAAATCCGATCCAATATATAAACGAACAGACACACACACACACACGCAACCTGGGTTTTATAATAAGTATGATGTTAAATAATCCAAGACGGGCAATATGTCTTTAAATTGAACAATCTGATTCAACTTCCCCAAATCTATTACTGCCTTCATTCCATGTAGCATTTTCTTGCCTTCGCTTTATTTTCATCTCTTCTCGATTTCCACTTCTCGACTTCTTCCTTTTCACACTTGTTGATTTTGTTTCTCATTGTTTTCTTTACCCTTGTTTTTTTTGGGGGGGGGTATCTTTGTTTGTTTTGTTTGTTTTTTTTTTTGTTGTTTTTTTTTTCGTCTTTTTTTTCGTTTTTTTTTTTTTCTTTGTTTTTTTTTCTTTGTTTTTTTTCATTATTTTTTTTTCTTTGTTTTTTTTCTTTTGTTTTTCGATTTCTTCATTTTTATTTATTTACTTATTTATTTATTTATTTATCACCATATATTTTTCTCATCTAATCTTCAGTTGCATATACAGGGAGTATGAATGATGTTGTGAAACAACAAGTTGTGTGGGTGTAGCCGCCATTTCGTAAGAATGCCTACTGATAAGTGGGACAAGACAGCAAACTTATCAACAAAAAATATATCAACAGAACGTATCACAAAGAAAATGTGCTGAATCTATTTTTCTAGACTTCTGCCTCATCTTTTTATTATTATTAGCAGTAGTAGTATTAATGGTGGTATTATGGGCCTCTCTCTCTCTCCACGTCCCTACCATTTGAATACGTGAATTCTTATTTATTCACATAGGGATGACAGTCTTTCCCATACGCTATAGAGTACTGCGCTTACTTAAGTAGTCGTCTGAGTTGCATCTGACTAAGAAACCGAAGTTCCTGTGAAAGAGTTAATTAAAGAACAACTGATTATAGTTAACTCTGAAGTGATATTTAGCTAACCCCCCCCCACACACACACACACACACGAGAGTTACATGTGGCACAATGCCGAGTTTAATGTGGGATCTCCGAGCCCGTAGGCTCGGCCAAAAAAAAAAACAAAACATTCCCTCTTTGAACCCACGTAAACGGGTTCAGGGGCAGTCAAGTTAACTCTGAAGTTCTGCCATTTTCTCATATAAGCTGCAAATAAAACAAGAATTTTCGTTACTTGGAGCTGTCAATTTTTTTAATTGAAGTTTGGGGTTTTGTTTTAATCATTTCACCCCAAGCAAGGCAATAAAACCTCTAAGACGCAAGGGTTTACTGATTGCGAGATTAAATCAGAAAAAAAAATTAAGGAAAGACAACAATAAAAGAACAGGAATTAAAAAGACGGAAAATAAGGATTAACATTGCATTTAAATTCTTTTGAGGATCAAAGTTGACTGGGAAGCAAGAAGCCGGATGGGAGTTCCACAAGAGTGAAGTGTGATAGAAAAACTGTTAGCGTAGAACTTACTGTGAAATGATAAAACCTAGCTGCAAATCTAGTACTGAACTTAAATTCGTCAAGTCTAGCTACCATAGATCAAAGTAAATGTAAAATTAAATAAATAAAATATTGTTTAATATAATTATTATTTAAAAATACCTATTATCATTATTATTAGTAGTAGTAAAAGTATGAAAAGTATTATTAATATTAGAAAAAATAATAAAATTATATTGAACAAATGAAGTAGAATTTCTCAATGTCTAACTTAATTCTTAACTACGAGGGTAAGTCAAAAATGATGTGCTCTTTCACCATAACATTTCTTGAGGTTTGTCACATTGCCTTCTGCTCATGCATGCTTTTAGTTGGCACTATTGTGGTCACGTAATCAAAGTTTGAGCTTGATGGCGCCAGTTATGTAGTTTTTGATTTTGGTCCAAGAAAAATGCGCCTCTCAGTTTCAGCCAAACTAAATATTAAGCTGATAAAGACGGTACAGATAAGAGGCTATCAGAAATAGCACTATTTCAATTATTAGATTCCTATTGCGATTAAACTACTCTTGCACTCCTTTAATATGACGTGCTCAAATATAAAAATAAAATATTAAAAATAAAAATTAAGATGGCTTTTGCTTTCCTTAAAAATCCATATGTCTGTCTATCACTCTCCTCCTCCTCCTCTCAACTTGGGAGAAAGCAGCACTCAAACGAAAAGATAGGATTGAACGATAGCTGCGAAACGGAAGTTCGCTGGTCCATTATCTAGTTTATTGTGACTAGAAATCCAACCAAATAAGGGAGGTTTCACGCATAACTTGATAATAGTTTTTGATTCGAATACAAGAAAATGACACCCTTTAATGGCAGTCGCGACCACTATTAGAAATGATAAATTGCGTTGGCACAGATAAGAGCTTATCAGAAATACCATTATTTCTATTATTAAATTACTCCTACCATCATTATTGTTAGATTTTGTCTGTTGTGAAATTACTCCTACTCTCTTTATTAAATTACTCCTACCATCATTATTGTTAGATTTTGTCTGTTGTGAAATTACTCCTACTCTCTTTATTAAATTACTCCTACCATCATTATTGTTAGATTTTGTCTGTTTGAAATTACTCCTACTCTCTTTATTAAATTACTCCTACCATCATTATTGTTAGATTTTGTCTGTTGTGAAATTACTCCTACTCTCTTTATTAAATTACTCCTACCATCATTATTGTTAGATTTTGTCTGTTGTGAAATTACTCCTACTCTCTTTATTAAATTACTCCTACCATCATTATTGTTAGATTTTGTCTGTTGTGAAATTACTCCTACTCTCTTTATTAAATTACTCCTACCATCATTATTGTTAGATTTTGTCTGTTGTGAAATTACTCCTACTCTCTTTATTAAATTACTCCTACCATCATTATTGTTAAGCTTTGTCTGTTATGAAATTACTCCTAAACGCCTTCCACTATTATTGTTATTCTTTGTCTGTTGTGAAATTACTCCTACTCTCCTTATTAAATTACTCCTACAATCATTATTGTTATACATGGTTGTGAAAATACTCCTACTCTTTTTTTTTTAAATTACCTCTACTTGCCTTATTAAATTATTCCTACTCTCCTTATTAAATTACTCCTACCATCCTAATGTTATTAAATTAGGCTTACTGTCGTGATTAATTTACACCTACCGTCATCCTCAACTGCCTCTGTTATTCCAGCTTTGATTGCATGGAAATACTCTATGAAATGACGTAACCTCAATAATCCTAAACGTTGGGAAAAAGCGATTATCATCAATTGATGATATCCGCTGATCTCCAATGAAACCCCAATTAATGATGGTCGACATTTAAGGGAGGCTAGTTGTATCCTGGTAGCATGAAATCAACATTTAGATCGTTAACAAATATATTTCTTTTAGTACAACCCCATGTAATCGTCTCCAGATGAAAAAGGCGAAATCTCCTTCCATGAAGGCGTTTAGCACACGAGAGCCATCTCCAGCTTTTACGGTCTTGGCAGAGAGACGGGAGATCCTCCAGCGCCTGATTAATCTGCTGAAGGTCTGTCCAGCGGCTGTGTGATCTGCTGCGAAGCCTTCGCCAGTTTGAGATGGCGGGTCGAACTGGTTGATGACTTTGGTAAGATAGTCATCAGGATGTGTCAGAGTCAACGAAAACAGGCGCTGAGCAATGGTGCAGACTATGGCCTGTCCTTCGGCGTAGCGCCTCATTGAACCCAAAATCGGACCAGTGCACCAATCTCGATGGCCTTGGGATCGCGGGATTCCGAGTCATGGACGTGGGAGGCAAGGAGTAAAAATGGTAAATTAAAAAGAATAAATTATTCATTTTCCTTCTTTTTTTCAGTGTGATTTGACAGCATGATTTTTTTTCAATATTTTTCTCTTTCACAGGTGAAGAATGCAAACACTATCAACACCTAACAGCCAATACTTATTATGCATATTTTACATTCCCTAATTCCGATAGAAAATACGAAAAGTAAGTAAAACCTATATATATATTAAAGTTATTACATTCAGGGTGTCCCAGAATAAATGTAACCCAAGAATGTGAGCGCCATTTATTTTCTGTTAACAAAATATATACAAACCATATATTTCTGAAAACTAGAAAAGTTAACAAATCGACTGCTACAAACAACATGTCACTAGCTCTAGTGGGAAACATTTTATTATCATTTATAGAATATGCTCCAAATGTGCTCCGTTCTGTTGAAGACACACTTGAATTCTACGGACAAAGTTGTCGATGACTTTGATGGACTCTTCTTTTTGGTATAGCTTTGATTTCTTGAGTGATTTCTGCCTTTATCCCTGAGATGATGTGGTGGTTGTTCCTATAGACTCGATCCTTCAGATACCCCCACAGATAAAAATCTGGATGGAGAGTTGAGGTCGGGGAAAATGGAGACCACTCAGTTTCGCGTTTACGGCTGATGAGTCGGTTAGGAAATTTCTGATCCAGCCACTCCATTTAGATGAGAAAAATATATGGTGATAAATAAATAAATAAATAATTTCTGATCCAGCCACTCCCCGCATCTTGCTAGTACCACTAGTGCCCCCTCTGAACCCTGGTTGCACCTCTGCCACGTCTCATGGAAGGATTTGGTGAGGTCAAGTCCCTGGCACTTTTTACGGACGGATTACTTCGGATTGCTACTTACTGAATCTCGGACAGCTGCTGTTTTCAGGAGACCTTAAAGTAGGTTTTCTGCCAACTTTGAATATGCTGGAGATATTTTTTCTCATATTGTTGATTCTCCCTGTAGCCTAAAACATCTTGATCCAACGGTAAATGTCAGTTTTGCTAGTAATTTTATTCTTGTCATACATTCTGTGGAATTCGCGATGGCATGTTTTATAAGAATTTCCTTCTAATTTTCTCACCACACAGAACATTTTCTATTCTTCTGTAAAAGGCATTGTAGTTAGTGTTCTGGTTTTGCTATCTTCTCAGCTTTCTAAATCTGAAATCTAAAATAAAATATTAAAAATCAACAAAATTACATACGTTTATTTGGGTTACATTTATACTAGGACATCCTTTATGTCTGAATCTTTTAATGTTTGATTTAAACAAGGAACTGAAACCGTACTCATTATCTATCGATCTGTCTAAATGAGGAGGTCGTGATGAGATCTCTATCCAATGAAAAAGGGAGTGACCATTTCGAACGTACGTAGCTTTCGAATGTTCATCACTGGATTTGTTATTCATGGCTAATCGATTTTAAAGTTTTTTTTGTTTTTTTTTTATCAACAAAAAATAAATCATCCGGACGTCTGATCAATTTTTTTTTTAATTTGAGAAGTGAGTATATGAGAGAAATTTTCAGCGCCCTTCGTATTGATTTATCCTATATACCCTATTCTTATCTATTGATATATTTTATCGGTGCAAGAGGCTGTGCGGACATAATTCCAGAAAAATATATGATTTAATCGAAAGATTGTTAGACTTGAAAATTATTATGGGTAAAGATTAAATTCACAGCAGTCCAGGAACTCATTGTAAGCATTTTTTTAATCATTTCACCCCAAGCAATGCAATAAAGCTACTAGGACGCAAGAGGTTACTGAGTGTGAGAGAATATGAGAAAGAAAAACACTATTAAGGCGAGAGAAAGATACAAGAAGAAATATTAAGAAGACAGAAAATAACGATTGATATTGCATTTAAATCTTGAAGATTAAACTTGATTGGGATGCAAGAACGCAAAAGAGTATATTGTGTACTATAAAAGAAATTTTTAGTAGAGAATTGACGGTTACATCTTGCCAATTCAACTATATATTGATGAGACCTTGCTGCCAATTTAGTACTGCGCTTAATTTCATAAAGTCTAGGTGCCATAACGAAAGTTCATTAGAAAAATTACCATGAAATTCTATAATTTTTGTAAGCGGTTCACGCATATCGATCGCCCCCACCATTGGTTATATTAAAGTCTCTCAAAATAGAAGAATAACCTAATTTGGAGGAACACTATCACGGAAAATAATGTGATTTTCAGATTGGTTATACAAAAATAAAATTAAATAAGCAAACATTATGACGTATCTGTCTATATTTCTGAGATGAGGTATTGTGTATACTATTTACATTATTCGGACTATTGTCCACATCTTTGTTGCCATATTTATCACAACGTTTCGGCCTTTCAGTATCTGTCTATATTTCTGTGATGAGGTATTATGTGCACTATATACATTATTCGAACTATTGTTCTCATCTTTGTTGCCATAATTATTACAACGTTTCGGCCTTTCAGTATCTGTCTATATTTCTGAGATGAGGTATTATGTACACTATTTACATTATTCGGACTATTGTCCTCGTCTTTGTCACCATATTTATCACAACGTTTCGGCCGTTGTACGCTCCGGCCTTCTTCAAGACACATGGCACAGTGGATAAAGGCGTTGGTTAGATCCAGTCACAGGACCCAAAGAGTGTGAGTTCAATACCCGGTTAAGGCAGTGGAAAACTTGGATAGGGGAAGTAACAGGAGAAAACTGATAACTGACATCCATTAAACATGGCACGTGGAACTAGAACAGTCTACCCCAGTGAGTGAAATAAAGGGCTCAGTTCGACATTCCAACCACCTGAAGAAGGCCGAAGCGTACAACGGCCGAAACGTTGTAATAAATATGGCAACAAAGATTTACAAATAATGTAAATAGTGTATTATGACGTGTGGTTTAAATATTTGTAAGCTTTTTCATATCCGGCATTAGTTTTTTAAAAGATATCCGGTATTATCTGTCTCTCAAATCTCCTATATGTCGTGTCATTCTAGGACGCTGGCGATCATGGCTCTCCACAATTTCCTGTCCTTTGTAGATCGTAGTAAATGTTGTCTTTATTTTCTCTCCTAATCCCTGTTCTGCCAACCATTTATAAAAGTTCTTTGTTCTTTTATATTCCGTGTCCTTTCAGGACGTGGGCGATCATGGCTCTCCACAATTTCCTGTCCTTTGTAACTTAGTAAATGTTGTCTTTTTATTATCTCTCCTAAACTCTGTTCTGTCAACCATTTACGTAAGCTCACAAGGTGCCGTTTTTCTCCGTCTCTCTTGCCTTCAATATGTCCTGTGAGTATTAAAATTTCCAAGCTTTCTTTCCTCATTATGTGGCCTATATATTCTGTCTCTTTCTAATGTTAAATATGTGTCCTTTTTTTGCTTTGATTTCTCTAAAGCTTCATCCCTTCTCACATGTTCAGTCCATATCCGGTATTATACGTTTATATAAATTCAGTTCAGTATTAATTATAGATTTATAAAAAAAAATAATCCCGTGTTGATGCTCGAATGTATAAATTCTAACGGTAGGAGAGGAGGCACGGTGGCGTAATGGATAGCAGCTCGGATTGAGGAATCGGAGAGCCGAGTTCAAATCCCAGTCGAATCTATTACATTCACTTAGGTATGAAAGGTTTGAATCCTCTCCCTATGGGTTAATAGCAGGACAGACCGGGTTCTGTAGCTATGGTTTACCGCAGAAAGAAATGACAAAAAAAAATCTACCTCGTCAGCCATTTATCGAAAGATACATGATCGCCTAAGCGTGTATCTGAGTTAGTACTGTCTTTCTCTCTCACTCTCTCTCTCTCTCTCTCTCCCCCACACACAAGAACAGATTATCGACTTGAAAATAAGTAGGCATTTTGTTGAAACCGATCGATCACTAACATTCGGACGATATCCATACTGCTTGAAACCAGACATGAGTGTTCTTGTAAACAAAAAAACAAAGTTAATTTAAAAATATATAGTCATCTGAAGACCGCGAGAGCATGAAACCCGAGTTGTCCTTTGATTTGTCCTTTGTGAAGCGGTCTTTGCACTGTTTGGGTAGTGTGGGAGTTGGCAACTTTATTGCGTATGTAGATGTTTGCCTTTTGGCCTTTCTTTTTTCTTTCCTTGAACGGAATATTTTCTTCTCTCAGGTGTTAGGTCGTCTGGAAAGCTGTCCGTTGGTCACATCGATATGGTCGGATTTTTGTATATATATTTATATACAATCTATCCCTGATATTGAGCACTTTAACCCATGAATATGTGACACCTTAAAACTATATTGTTATCATGTGTAATGGATAGCGACTCGGATTGAGGAATCGGAGAGCCGAGTTCGAATTCGAGTCGAGTTCATTACCTTCATTTACGTACTAACACCCTTGAGAAAAGCATGAATACATCTCTTTTCTCCTCTTCTCGGAATTCAAAACCAACCATTTTTCCTAGGAAATACTAATGCTACTGTGATGCACCTACGACATTAAAAGTGTTACGGGTTTGGTGATCGTGACATATATATATATATATATATATATATATATATATATATATGCCCGCCGTATGTTTGCCTCTCTGTGCCTTTTTTTAATAAATAATTCCATTCGTAATTGTTCGGATGAGCTCTTCGCTATGATACCTAGACTTTATTAATTTAAGCGCAATACTAGACTGGCTGCGGGATCTCATCAATTTGTTGTTAAATATAACATATAATGAATGTCGATCATGTTTGATCACGAGCCGTTCTAAACTTTATATGGTTGCTTTATTTTCGGGTGAAGATAAAGGCAAAAATTGTTCAACATTTGGATTTCTTTTATTAAGCTGTTTCTTGATTTAAGCTTCAGTGGTTGTATGGACATTTAAACAAAGATATTCACCACCAAAGATGATATTCTAATATTTTGACATAGAAGATTGCTATGCGACGATAACGGTCGCGGAATAGCAGACGCAGGTCGTAACTTCATGATGCGCTTCTATGACGTCGTACCACGTGAGAGACCGAAATCTTAACTACAGAACCATATTTCAAGATGCAATGTAATGTGTTGCGACTAGTTTGAAATGTAATTTTGTTGAGTGTAGGTTGCTTTGTTTTAATGTAGATGGCCTCCAATATCTGAAGGTCCTTTTTACTGTATGTATCTGTGAGTATTTGTTGTTATA